CACCATCATGCTGGCTCATCTGTTCAACAAGAGAATCGTCAGATATCGCCCACACGCTGCTTGCCATCGCGCACTCAAGCAAAGCATGTCTCCATGAATCTCTGGCACCGCAAAACACACATGTAGAAGTAGTCGACATGTTTCTATGGTGGAGTAGCTCCGCTGTTGGGATAGAGCTGCGTGCAAAACGCCATAAAAACAGCTTCACCTTCGATGGCACATCCATCTTCCATAACTTAGTCCAGTCGCTACCCGTGTTGCCCGATGCTGATGCGTTATCACCACTTCCATGCTCTCCCTCTAGCCTTGCTTGTACAATCAGTCTATAGGCAGATTTTACAGAAAAATTACCCTTCTTCTCACCACTCCATGCCCAGAAATTTTCCATGTTGCGTGTGCATAGAGGTATAGATAATATTCCTTCTGCATAAACAGGCAAAAAGACAGTCCGAACCAGTTGTTCATTCCAAGTGGCCTCCTGGGCATTGATATAATCCGCCACTAGGCGCGGCGGATTCTGTATTAACGGCGATACCGGTCTCATCATTCCTGATCTTGGAATCCAGTTCTGTGTCCAGAATTCAGTAGTTTGCCCATTGCCAATTCGCCGGACTATACCCAGATTTAGCATGTCCCTCCCATCCAAGATAGCTCGCCAGATTTGCGAGGGCCGACTTCCAAGCTCTGCCTCTAGAATGGATGTCTCGGGGAAATATGAGGCCTTCAAAATTCGTGCACTCAATGTTGTTGGTTCTGTCAATACCCTCCATGCCTGCCTTGCGAGCAAAGCTAGGTTGAAAATCTCCATATCCCTGAAGCCAAGTCCCCCGAGGTGCTTCGGTTGTGTCATAGTATCCCATGCCACCCAAGCTGGTTTTCGTTTTCCAGCCTTACTCCCCCACCAAAATTGGCGAATAATGGAGGATATGTTCTCACAAAGTCCCCTCGGAATTCTGAAACAGGCCATAGAGTAAACTGGTAGTGCTTGTGCCAGTGCCTTAATTAGAACCTCCTTTCCTCCTGCCGACAAAAGCTTCTCCATCCATCCCTTAACCTTCTCCCACACCCGGTCTCTCAGGTACCTGAAAGTATCCATCTTTGACTGGCCGACATCGGTTGGCATACCCAAGTAGCGCTCATTTAGCGACTCATTTTGAACATTCAGAGTTGACTTGATGCTCTCTCTCAGCTGTTGTGGACATCCCTTACTAAAAAATATTGACGATTTATCATGATTGATATAGTTCAGAAGGTTGCCATCAGCCTGCGATGAGATGAATCACCAGCTTAAAAACTTTCCCTCTCGCTAGGGTTCTCGTCCTCTCGGTGGCGCTTCTGCCGGTGTTGAGATCTTCTTCCCTGATCCCGTCCTGTGTCGCCTCTTCCTGCTCGGATCGATTACGGGGCGATCTGTGCATCGCTACCCGATCTTGGCGGGGGAAGGCAGTCCAGTGGGGGTCTAGGGTTAGGTCAAGGCCCGGCGAGAAAGTTTCTTCGGGCGAGGGAATAAAGATGGTAGCAAAAGCTTCTGGATCGGGAGACCAAGAGGATCTGGAGGCAATGATGAGGGAGTTGGGCCTCTCGGAGGAGGACCTAGATGATGTGGTGGTAGATCAAAAAACTCTACAGCCAGAAGCTACGAGGTGGATGGCGATTGCTAGGGTTCACACGGAAAAACCTATAGTCAGTTTTGGTTTTACAAGAACATGAGATCAGCACGGGATCTGGCGCAGAGGGTCAATATACAGCCCCTTGAGGACAATCTCTACACTCTGCAATTCTCGTGCCTTGGAGACTGGGAAAGAGTGATGCTGGAAGGTCCATGGAACTTTCAAGGTGATGCGGTGATCTTGGCAGAGTATGATGGCTTCACTAAGCCATCATCTATCAGACTAGACTTGCTGGAGATATGGGCACAAATACATGATTTTCCAGATGGCTATGTCTCACAGATACCTTCCTTGGCGGCGAAGTTGGGCGAGCTAGTCTATGCCGAAACAGCTTCCCATGATTTTGAAGGAAACTTCTTTAGGGTCCGTGTAAAGGTTGATGTCACCAAGCCACTGAGAAACGTTGTATCGCTTAAGATCGGTGAGAAGCGACTGATTTTTAGGGTCAAATATGAAAGGTTGCCCAACTGGTGTGCAGTTTGTGGAAAGCTAGGTCATCAGTTTAAGGAACATGGGGATGGCGTCCATCCTCCTGCAGCGCTGGTATTCAAGAATTTGAAGGCCACGTGGTTCAGAGGTGCAGGATCGGGTCCGGGCGAGGCGAAGAGTAAAACTAAGCCAACTGTGCGCAAGGCTCCAACAAAGACTGGGCAGTATTCTGGGGGTAGCGGTGGTCATGATGCTGACATGGAGGAGGCAGAAGGAAACAGGAAACGAACCCAGGCAAATCCATCTACAATGGCTCGTTCTCATGTGACCAACACGGGTGGTGGAGGGAGGGGTGGACTGCTGGCTCTGCCTCCGCCGTAGGTACCGTTGAGTCTGTCGCCAAAACAAGACCCGAAGCGGACCAAATTTGATCAAACACTGGAGAAGTTCAACCAGGGAAAGGGCAATAGCGACAGGATCGACAACACATCAAATGCATCATCGGCGGACTCCCAGGCGGAGTTCCGCCGGGCACAATGAGTATCCTTAGCTGGAACTGCCGCGGCGCGAGCAAAGCCGCGACAGTTCGGGAAATCCGCGAGCTAGTGCGGAAATTTGCCCCCACCCTTCTTTGTATTGTTGAAACTCAAATTGATAGAGTTAGGGTGGAAAATCTAGCAAGTTCGTTTGGCTTCGATAACGCTTTTGCTGTAAGCAGTCAGAGCCGTAGTGGGGGCCTTGGAATTTTTTGGAATAATCCAATAAAAGTCGAGATTTTGGGGTACTATGTGTATCACGTAGATTGTAAAATTGATGAGCCGGGGACTGATTCTTGGAGAGCTACTTGTTTTTATGAAGAAGCACAAACACATATACACCATCAGACTTGGGACACAATGAAAGGCATTGCAAGTTTGAGCGAGCTCCCTTGGGTATGCTTCGGGGATTTCAATGAGGTGCTACGTCCGGAAGAACAAGAAGGTATTGGAGAACGTAGTAATGCCCAAATACAGGGGTTCCGCGAGGTGGTTGATGTCTGCATGTTGGAGGATTTGAGCTATCAAGGAAATTTTTGGACGTTTGAGAAAAAGGTCACGGGAGGGAGTTTCACTCGGGTCTGTCTCGACCGGGCGTTGGCATCGGTTGATTGGATTTCGAGGTTTCCCGCAGCATCAGTTAAGCACCTCACAGCCGCTTCATCAGACCATGTCCCGATTCTCATCAGTATGACCGAGGAGCAGGTGCAGCCGACCCCAAAACCACCATTCCGATATGAGGTGATGTGGGAGACTCATGAGTCGTGGAAGGAAACAATGCAACAGTGTTGGGGAGGAGCTGCACCTGCGCTGAGTCTTGTAGATTTACAGGACAAACTTAAGAAGGTTGCATCCAACCTCGGCAAATGGAATAGAGATACATTTGGCAGCGTTAGGAAGGAGATCAAGTGGTTGACGGCCGAACTTGAACGGCTCCGAAGCGAACCGGGTAGAATAGGACCGTCACACTTGGAGATCAAGCTTAATGATAAGCTGGTAGAGCTCTACCACCGAGAGGAGTTAATGTGGCGCCAAAGATCGAGGATTGAATGGCTGGCATCAGGAGACAAAAACACCAGGTTCGTCCACTTGCGTGCAAGCATGAGAAGGAAAAAGAACATGATTAAAGCCTTGGCAAACTCGCTGGGAGTTCAGGTGCAGGACCCGGCGGAATTAAGAGAGATGGTCACCGCTTTTTACAGAAACTTGTACACAACGGAGGGGGTGACAGACATGGACCGTGTGCTCCAACATGTTCCCAGGAAAGTAACGCCACGGATGAATGAGATGCTAACGGCTCCATATACAAAAGATGAGGTGAAGAAGGCACTCTTCCAGATGGGCCCTACAAAATCACCGGGACTGGATGGTTTCCCAGCTCAGTTTTATCAAAGGCACTGGGATATATGTGGTGACGAAGTGACGGAAACAGTCTTTCGTATAATCAGAGGGGAGGAAAGTGCGGCGTGTGTTAATGATACAGTACTTGTGCTTATTCCCAAGGTGATGAACCCCACTCTCCTTACCCAATTCCGGCCTATCAGTTTATGCAATGTCATTTACAAAATTGCCTCTAAGGTTGTTGCAAATAGGTTGAAAATTATCTTGCCTGACATCATATCAGAGGAGCAGTCCGCTTTTGTTCCAGGCCGGCTTATAACTGACAATATTATTTGTGCTTACGAGTGCTTACATTTTATGAAGAGGAGCAGGTCTAGGTCAAATAGCCATTGTGCTCTGAAATTGGACATGATGAAAGCATATGACAGAGTGGAATGGGCGTATCTCAAAGCAATGATGATCAAGCTTGGTTTTGCTCAACAGTGGATGGACATTATCACGAGTATGATCAGTTCAGTCTCATTCTCAGTTTTATTTAATGAAGAGAAACTTGAGTCTTTTACACCATCACGAGGTATTCGACAGGGAGATCCGATATCCCCCTACCTCTTCTTGATAGCAGCAGAGGGCCTTTCGTGCGTACTTAAAACCAGTTCTCGCTCATCTGTGTTGGGTGGGATCAAGGTGGCAGCTTCAGCTCCGGCCGTAAACCACCTCCTATTCGCGGATGATAGCCTGTTGTTGTTCAAGTCGAGTAATGAAGGGGTTGTAGCGGTTTCAAACCTATTGGATGTTTATTGTAAGGCTTCAGGGCAGAAAATATTACTGGGCTGTCTTGTTAACTGGGCCGTCTTGTTAACTGGGCCGTCCTGTCACAAATTTCACAGTACCTCCTCGCCCGCGACCGACGACCGGCGCGCCTTTATGATTGCTTCCTCCCCTCCACTTCGCTCCTCCCGCCCGGTCTCCGCCTCCGCGTCCACCCCAGCATTATCTCATATCCCCGTCTCCGGTGACCGCGGGCATGGCGGCGGCGACCGAGGTCTACTCGCCGACGCCGGCGGCGCAGCACCGGGGGCAGGCGGCGTGGTGGGCGGTGGTGGGGTGGCTCGCGCTCCTCCTGCAGGTCCTTCTCCGGGTCATCCGCGGCGCGCCCTCCTCCCTGGGGAAGCTCCTCAGGTCCCTCGGCCTCCGCCACCCCATCCTCTCCGCCGCCCCCGCCGTGGCCTTCGTGCAGCTCCCCTCCAAGGCCCCCGCCGACGACTTGCCGCCCCTGTCCCCGCCGCCTGGGCGGCTCACGGTACGGGCCCATGTGTTGCCGCGCGAAAGGGTAGTAGTCTGCTATGTTAGGGAACTAGGGATCACCGTGGTGGTTGGGGTTTATGAGGTTAGTGGTTAACTGCAGCTAAACCAGCTGTGGTTCTAGAACTGGATTGCTATCTGCAGACAGGAGTGTCGAGCAAGGTTCATTCTGAGTATGATTTCTTAGGCATGATTAACAGAATAACACTATGCATATCTTAATTAAGCAGAATGGCATGCTATGAATGTTTGTTTATTAGTTGTTTTATATCAAGTCTTCCTTTTTCTTTTTGCGAATGATATCAAGTCTTCTTGGGTGAGCTTCCTTTCTGACTGCATAATATATACACTATTTTGGGGGTGTATCTTCAGGTAGTGTTGGACTTGGATGAAACATTAATCTGTGCATACGAGTCATCGAGCCTTCCTGCCACCGTGCGCACCCAGGCGGTCGAAGCAGGGTTGCATTGCTTTGACATGGAGTGCGTATCATCCGACAAGGCAAGCATGTGACCATCTTTCCCCCCTTTTCCTATGATATTGTTGTTAAGTTCTCACTTTCTCAAGAAGGTACTTATGGGAATTTCTATTCTTGGTGTAAAAGGATGCCAAAGGCAGACAGAGGGTGAATCATGTAACTGTCTTTGAGCGTCCTGGTTTGCACGAGTTTTTGCAGAAAACTAGTGAATTTGCCGATCTTATACTCTTCACCGCTGGTCTGGAAGGTTTGTCCTGTCCAACATTCATTTTGCTCTCCATCAAGAGCCCTGTATCTAACTGATCTGCGCTTCCCCCAGGATATGCAAAGCCTTTGGTTGACAGGATAGATGCTCACAATAGGTTCTGTCGCCGTCTCTACAGACCATCAACTGTTACTACGTAAGTTTGTCATTAACATCTCTATAAGCTGTAAATGATGGACTCTTTGTTCCTGACTTTATATAGAGGATAATTCTCGTGCTCGCTGAAATAGTGAAGTGCCACCCTGACTGATTTTAGTGGGAGGCCTTTGCAAGTAGTAACTTAAATATCACAAGTGCTTGTACAAGGTACTTAGGTACACCATAACACGGTGGCATTCCATTCATGCTAGTGGAATTTTTGCATTTCTTTTGATTTGGTGTCATCTACAACTTCTATCCACCTTTATTATTGTGTTGTGTAAATTGGAGGTACACCACCAGTATGTGCATATCCAAGATTGAAACATGTCTCTTTTTTTCTCAGAAGCGGTTGAAACCGTTTCTTCTTTTAGAATCAGTTTCTTAGAAAAATGCCACTAAGGGTTAGTCCTGGTTGGTAGAGTTTTCTTCTTTCTTGTAGAATGGATTGAACCAGATCTATGAGGGCACATTTGCACTGGACTGTTTCCCAACACAAGCACTCATGGTATTATTTTTTGTTTTATAGTACCTTTGCCTGATGTTATCTTGTTTATGTCCACTTTATGGGAAACCGGTTATTGTACCGTATGTTCCTGCCAACTTCTATATGCTGTTGATCCTAGTCTGTTCATAGTCCTGTTTATGAAATCAAGCTTTCTGCTGCATTAGTTGAGCTGGTTCAGTTTTCTAATGCTGGCATGCTACCATTTTCAGGGAATACAGAGACCATGTGAAGGATCTTTCTTGTTTGTCCAAAGATTTCCGTAGAATTGTACTTGTTGATAACAATCCATATAGTTTCCTACTACAGCCATTGAATGGGATACCGTGCCTTACGTTTTCAGCTGGACAGCCCATGGATGATCAGGTAAAGTGGAACTGTTGATAAAATCGTTCTTCGGTTCTAAATTTAAAATCTCCATCGTTATTGATCCAATTATGTTTGAAACATTTTAGCTTATGAGAGTGATATTTCCGCTTCTCAAGCGCCTTTCTCTCCAAAATGATGTGAGACCGGCATTGCATGACGCGTTTCACATGCCAGAGTGGTTTCAAAGAAATGGGATCCCACAAATTGACCAGGCAATGTAAGTTTTG